GCAGCAGAAGCAGAGACAAAATAAAGGAAAATGGAAAATATCTTAATAAAAACCTGCAGAGACTTGGATGTGGGGGTCCAACAGAAGGCGGTTGTGTGGCAGTGCCGGGGGCCTGCATTAGAAATGCAGAAGGAGAGAGGTGACACTGAGTTTCCGTTGCGGCTCAGGATATGACACTGTTGAATTGTTGGAAAGAGGAAAGGGAAACTCATCGATCGTGAGTAACCGTCCGTTTCGGTGAGCTCATTCTGAGCAAAAACCGCTCGATCCGACTCTTTTGGAAGTTCATTAAAGGCTAAGTTAGCATTTGGGAGTAAGGGATTGCAGATTAAAGTGTGTGGTGGGGATTTCTGCCAGTATTTTTATTTCCAGGAGTTTTCAGAATTGTATTTTTGGGGTGAGCAGAGAGCTACGTTGAGGAAAAGCCGAGTAGTAACCCTAGAGTAGGTTAAGGATGGGTACAATCAGGGAGCTTCCACAGCAAGTGTTAAGCTTGGTGAAATTTCCACCTTTAGCAGGAACAAGCAAGGATTGAATGAGGTGCTGATGTGAAGTGGCTCTGGGACACGGGGAGGGGACAGGGATGTGTAAAGGGTCATATCTGCAAGGGGAGGAGAAGGGAGGAAGCTGAGCGTGGGCCTCGGTGGGTGAAAGCTCACAGGACCGAGAGCCGAAGGACGAGCGCAGACGGGCGATGAGGTGGCTTCCAGGACACGTCAGGAAGGGAAATCTCTGTCAGCTGGAGGGGAACTCATCTGCAGTGGCAGAGGCCAATGAGAAGGAGGGGACGCGAGAGGACGGGCGGCCTTGGCCACCATGGGGTGGAGGAAGCTGCAGTGGCCCCATGGTCAGTGGCCATAGAGGGGCCAAGGGGACCGGCGGGTGGGAGTGGTGGTCAGGACGTGGCTGGGTGAGAAGGGAGCCTGCCAAAGCGATGAGTAAACACAAAGGGATGGGGAGGCAGAAGGTTTTAGTTAGAATTGAGAAGATTTTGGGGCTTGTTCGTTGAGAAGTGTGAAATTTCGTGGTGCTCCACGCATCTCCTCATCTCCGTTGTCCCTATGAAGCTCGGGGGCTTTGGTTTCACGTGGTGTTTGCTGTTAGAAGTGGATGTACACATCACGTAACTCATATTATCCATGCAATAATGTTTTTCTGGTGTTATCTAAAGCCAAATATTTCCTGGCTGGAAAAAAAACTTGTATTTTGGGGCACGCCGGGATGGGAGGAGAGAGTTTGGTCGAGTTTCAGAAGGTGTTTGTGGACTGAACAGTGGTTGCTGTACAAAGTGAGCTACCGGGAGGTTAAAGGAGAGCTGTGAATGCCGAGCACAGGATGCCGTGCCCTTTTCCTCTGACGAGCAGCTGAGAGCCGCTGGAGCGGTGCAGTTTGTGGTGATCGTGCTCCATCTCGTGGCTGTTGAGGGACACGAAAGAGGAAAACCAGTGCTTGGGGATGGCAGGAAGCGTAGAAGTTGTAACGGTTGGCGAGCGACAGCAACTGTGCAGAAAAGTGCTAAAAAATTAAGAAAAAAATACTTAGAATTTCAACTTAGACTGAATTATTATAGCTGGTCAAGCAGATTTTTTTTTCCCCAAAGGTCTTTTCTCGTATAATTTTGATTTCATTGTTTCAAAGCTCTTAAGAGGTGACTTTTTATGGTGAAAATGTACACACCTCTCATTGCTACAATAAAAAATGACATTTTATGTTTCACAGTGGGCATTTCAGCCCATTATAAAAACAGCTCAACTTCTACCCATGCCATTGCTGTAGCATTTCCTGCAGATTTGGTGATTCCTCTCCCTTATGAGGAGCGGCTGAGGGAGCTGGGGCTCTTGAGCTTGGAGCAGAGGAGACTGAGGGGTGCCCTCATTCCTGGGGATCCATTGGGAAAGGGCAGTGTCAGGAGGAAGGAGCCAGGCTCTGCTCTGGGATGGCCAATGCCAGGACAAGGGGCAATGGTCCCAAGCTGGAGCACAGGAGGTTCAAGCTGAAGATGAGGCCAAAGTTTGTGAGTGTGAGGGTTCTGGAGCATGGCCCAGGCTGCCCAGAGAGGTTGTGGAGTGTCCTTGTGTGGAGACACCCAAAGCCCTGGCCGTGTTCCTGTGTGACTGCTCTGGTGATCCTGCTGTGGCAGGGGTTGCACTGGGGGAGCTTTCCAGGTCCCTTCCAACTCCTCCTATTCTGTAATTCTGTGATTCTGTGTGCAATGGAGCTCTTGGTTTTGTTTCCTTCCCAAGCGCCGGCGTGGGCCGCACGGGCACGTTCATCGTGATCGACGCCATCATTGACATGATGCACGCGGAGCAGAAAGTCGATGTCTTCGAGTTCGTCTCACGCATCCGTAACCAGCGGCCGCAGATGGTTCAGACTGACGTAAGTGGGCTTTGGGCAGTTTAAATGTCAAATTTTGGGGGTTAGAGAAGAAAATGCTGCTGTATTTCCACTCTGATACGCATCCCAGTGCGTCCCGTTCTGTTGAAGAAGATAAGGGCACGTTATGGCTGTGTTGGCCACATAAGTCACGTTGTCTTTAGGTATCACATCCAGGTTTCCCCACACGCAGGAATGATGTAAGAGGAAATCTCTATTTTAGCTGAAGGTGCATTTTGATGGTTAGTAGATTGTAGACAAAATGAGAGTGAGGAAAGTTTTACTCATAGTTTTACATCTGTTGCTTACTTATTTACCGGGCTTATCTGCCCCTGTGTCCGTTCCAGATGCAATACTCCTTCATTTATCAAGCCTTACTTGAGTACTACCTCTACGGTGACACGGAGCTGGATGTGTCATCCCTAGAAAAACATCTGCAAACATCCCACAACGCGGCGCCAAACCTCGTCAAAATTGGGCTAGAGGAAGAATTTAAAGTAAGTATGGAAGGCCTTTGCCGTAGGATTTAAAAACATGGAAGAATTTAAGCCAAAAAGATACTTCAGAAGCAG